TTGACCAGGATGGTCTCGATCTCTTGACCTTGTGATCCACCCGCCTCGGCCTCCCAAAGTGCTGGGATTACAGGCTTGAGCCACCGCGCCCGGCCACCCATGCTGACATCTTGATCTTGGACTTCTGATTTCTAGAATTGTGAGAAATAACTGTGTGTTGTTTACAAACTACTCAGTCTCTGATATGTTGTTAGCAGCCCAATCTAAGACAATATCCAAGGTATTATTCCAACATGAAATCAATATAAAAATTAATGACTTTTTACATCAAGTCTTTGAAATACAGCATATATTTTTTTCTATTTTTTTTCTTTTATGGCTGCCCCCTCACCTGCAGATTGTGGGGGATCCTTAATCTGAGGACTTTTCAGATCTTACCTTAAAGCTGATTTAAAAATTTTTTAATTTGTGGTGAAATATGTATAACATAAAATTTACCATCTTGACTTGTCAATGTATCACACTTGGTCTTAGTCAAAAGGCCGAGAATCAATAGACTTTTAAATGTATCAGTGGTATTAAGTACATTCATAATGTTGTGTAACCATCATTATTCATCTCCAGAACTCTTCATTTTATAGCCTGAAACTCTGTACCCATTAAATAACAGTAACTCCTCACTCTCCCTTCCCCCTGGCAACCACCATTCTGCTTTCAATGCGGTGTGTATTTTATCCTTACATCACATCTCAGTGAAGGCTAGCAATGCTCAAACACTCAATAGCCGCGTGTGGCTAGTGGCTACTGTGTTGGACGCGTTGGTCTAAAAGATGAACAGGTTTAGGGAAGACATAGTTTGTCCTGTTTAGGCTTCTGTTATAGTTTTGGTCAACATCACTGGAAGTGCGGAGATCATATCATCCAGGGTTTGGAGCTGACCATACCATATCTGTTTTCTTGGCTGCAGGTTAAGTAGAGGGCATGCTCATAAGCACATGATCCTGACACCTCTCTCCCACTAGGGGCATGCGGTCAGGGACCCTTTAGCAAACAACTTCTTATAACAACAGTGAAGGAAATGAACCGGGGGCAGAAGTGTAAGAAAATTTCAGAATGTTTTGGGGGAAAAAAGGGAAACATCTACTTTTATGATCAGAAATGCTCAAAGGAAAAATGATTCAGAAAGGATGGGAAGCTCTAAAGTGTAAGAATCAGACAGCACAGTCACCAGTGATTCCAGTGAAGAAAAATGAGAAGTAGCTCATGAAATTTATATGATGCCCGAGGCTGATTTGACCATTTTGGTTCTAAAATGATAAATATAGAAGGGTACTGCATTAGTCTTTTAAGGTTACTGTAGCAAAATACCACAGAATGGGTAGTTTAAACAGAAGTTTATTTTCTTGCAGTTCTGGAGGCTGGAAATCCAGTATCCAGGCTAAATTGATTTCTGGTGAGGGCTCTGTTCTTGGCTTGCAGACAGCAGCCTTCTTCCTGTTTCCACATTTGACCTCTTTATGCATGCATTGCAGGAGAGAATGTGAGCAATTTCTCTGCTTTATCTTCTTTTAAAATTAATTTTATATTTTGTAATGATGGGTCTCAGTATGTTGCCCAGGCTGATCACAAACTCCAAGACTTAAGTGATCCACTGGCCTTAGCTTCCCAAAGTGTTGGGGTTACAGGTGTGAGCTGCTGTGCTCAGGCTGCTGTCTGTTTTTATAGGGGCACTACTTCTATGATACCAGCACCCAACCCTCATAAGCTCATCTAACCTCCCAGAGTCCCTATCTCCAAATGCCTTCACATTGTGGGGGTTAGGCTTTTAACAGAAGAATTTTGTGGGGCCAAGATTGAGTCCCTAATAGGCATACAGATGAATAGCATGAACCCATATGAGTGTTAGGAAGCAAATTATGATCCTCAAGGAACTGAGGCTTGGAAAAATTACAAAGGAAAACACAAAAGGCTTCTTCCATTACATTCAGTACAAGGAGAGGAAAGAAACAGGTTACATTAAAAAAAATTAATGACCTTGAAAGCCTTGGAAAGCTGTGGAATCCTGGCAACTTGGGCTGAAAATCCAGGCCTAATACGTTTGCAATAACATAATACCACCTCGTCGTAGGGTTCCAGGTTTCAGAGATAGAAAGTCAAGCCATCCTGTGTTTCTGAATTAGTTGCTATGTAAAATTTATTCACTAACATGAATCTGTTAACCGAGCAGTTAAAGTAGCATGTTTATTTTTATAAACCCCTGTCCTGGGGGCCCTTGGCTTGGCTCACTGTTTAGCATTGTATCTATCTGGTTCATGCCAGGAACATGGCAGTCGTTCTTGATCTTCCTTTTCTTCTTTCCTCCTAAGTTGAATCCATCCCCCAAGCATCTCAAATATGTCCATTTTTTTCACCCTCTCTTTCAAGTTCAGATGCTCATTGAGTCTGTTGATACTACTACTTTTTTTTTTTTTTTTTTTTT